GGGGAAAAATCACAGTCAGCATGGGACATCAGGGCTGCAAGACCCCAATATGTGCTTGTTCCATGGCCCCTATGAAAGGGGGGTCTGAGTCTAGCGGTGGTGAGGCTGGGTGCCTGGAAGCAGAGGGTGTGAGGCGGTTGTTCCCAGCTGGCCCCATGAGGATGCAGAGGGTCAGGTGGGGATGTGGAAGATGCAAGGGAAGTAGTTATAGAAGCAAGGCGGGAGCCTCCTGGAGGAGACTGGGTCCAACCCCCAGCGCTCCTGAGACCCAGATCTGGGCAGACCTGAGTGGGCTCTGTCAGGGTCCAGCCATCAGAGAAGCTTCTGGATTACATCTCAGGTTGCCTCAGAGAGAATCAGATGTCCTCTGGGACAAACCAGGTTCTAATCCTGGCTCTGCCATTTTCTGGTAGGATGACTCATGAGCCCTGGTTTCCTGGCCTGTCAAATGGCAAGGAAAGAGCAGGCTCAGCACGCACAAAGCCCTGACAGAGCGCCAAAGCACAGGAGACAGGGTCAGAGATGAAGGTGGGGCAGCCCCTGCAGGACGTGCGGGTCAAGACTGAGAGTTTGGATTTTACTGTGAATGCGCTGGGAAGGTTGAGTGTGTGTGATGGGGTGTGGCTGGGGGGTGAAATGACCTGATTTGGGTTTGGGAAAGGTTGCTCTGGCCACTGAGTGGAGAACAGAACAGAGAGTCCGGAGTATTAATAGAAACAGGGAGACCAGGGTGGAGACCACCATGGGCCTGCTGAGGTGGGAGATGACACGGCTCCGAGCAGGGGTGGGGGCACTGAAGAAAGTAGGGGCACCTCTGCGCACACCCCCGCTGGTCACCCAGGCCTCTGGGCTTCTGCTGGCATCCCGTCTCACCCCTCCTCACCTGGTTTCAGGTTCAGCTTTGGCACCTGGGGAACAGACTGTATGAGTCAGAGAGAGCAGGAACAGCAGCCCCTGGGGCTCAAAGGCCCAATAACAGAGTTTCATTTTTTTCACTCAAGCAATAGCCCAGTGTGAATTGTCTGAGGAGGGGTGAGGGCCTGTCCTCCAGGGGACTCCAGCCCCTGTATCCAAAACTTCTCTGGATTCTGGCAGGGGAGGGGAGAGAGAGAAAGAGATAGAGCGATTAATAGACACAGGAGGATCAAAGGGGAGGTTTTTTTGTTTTGTTTTTGTTTTTGTTTTTTGAGACAGAGTCTCACCCTGTCACCTGGACTGGAGTACAGTGGTGTAATCTCAGCTCACTGCAACCTCTGCCTTCCAGATTCAAGTGATTGTCCTGCCTCAGCCTTCTGAGTAGCTGAGATTACAAGTGTGCACCAGCACACCCGGCTGATTTTTTCTATTTTTAGTAGAGACGGGCTTTCACCATGTTGGCCAGGCTGGTCTTGAACTCCTGACCTGGTAGTCTGCCTGCCTGGGCCTCCCTGTGTGCTGGGATTACAGGTGTGAGCCACCGCAAAGGAAGATTTTTTTTAGGCCTAGAACTAGAACACATCACTTCCTCCCACACCCTATTGGCCAGGCTCGGTCCCTGAGCCCCAGCTCACTGCAAGGGAGGCTGGGAAGCGGAGCCTAGCTGAATCCGGGAGGAAAGTGCACGGGGAGGCCTGGGGATACATTCCACCAGATTTCCCTCCTACGTGCTCCCACAGGCCACGAGGTGTTACATAGAGGATGCAAAGGAAGATTGTTCTCTGCGTTTCCCACTCCCTGCCGCTCCACCTGAGGCATTCTGGGCTGGGACCCTTGGCAAAAGAACAAACCCACTCCACCCCTGTCACCTGGGGCAGGAGACTCTGTGTGTGGGGGCTGTGCCCTTCCACATTGTTCTCCCCTTCCCTGGCTGTTAAACATTTCAGAGGCACAAGGGTGGAGAGAGCCCTGGCCCCCTCCCCTGGCCCTACCCCACTGGCCTGGGCTGCCCGCCTCAGGCTTCCTATGTCTGGCTGGCCTTTAGGGCATCTGGGATGCTCAGTAAACACTTGTTGAATGCATAAAAGAAGGAAAGCAGGATGAGGAGGAAGAAGAGTCCCGGGCAGTACGTGCCAGGCAGATGGATGTCGTCTCATGAATGAAACTGCTGTACGTAGCTGCTCCTTACAAGCTGGGTCTGTGACATCTGGCTTTGGCTGGGGATGCATTTTTTTCTTTATATATGCTTTTAAAGTTTTAACTGAATTCATTTATTTGGGCGCAGGAAATATGTTCGTGCCATACAAAAAGGTCTATAGAGAAAAGTGTCCTTCCTACCCCTTCCTCTCCTGGCTCACCTCCCTGAGACAAGCAGTGTTCCTAATTTCTTGCAAAGCTTCCAGAATATTCGATGCTTAACAGATGTTGGCTATTATTCTCATGGTTGTGGCTGTTGTGTTCAGTATCCTCTCTCTCCTGCTGCCAGACAGCCTTAGTCTAGGGGAGAGGGCAGGGCAGTGTGGAAGGAACGGGCCTTTACAGCAAGCCTGTGGCGTGGCCACATTAAGTGTGTTATGCACACCTTCGTGTCCGATTCTGCCCCTTCATTTTATAGGTGTGCAGACTGAGGCACAGGGAGGCCTAGGGCACAGGCTCGATCTCCAGTCCTGCTTCTCCTGGTGGCACTGCTCCACCCTTCTCCTTTTCCAGTGCCAGCTTTGCATATGGGAGTTGAGCCTGATTCTCTTTTTAGAACCTTGAATTCCGCTTTCTCTTGTTTGCAGAACTGCCCTCCCTGCTCTTCTCTCTCCCCTGAGAGAGGCGGCAGGCTGGGCGCCGTGGCTCACGGCTGTAATCCCAGCACTTTGGGAGGCCAACGCGGGCAGATCACCTGAGGTCAGGAGTTTGAGACCAGCCTGGCCAATATAGGGAAAACCTGTTTCTACTAAAAACACAAAAAATTAGCTGGGCATGGTGGTGCATGCCTGTAATCTCAGCTACCTGGGATGCTGAGGCAGGAGAATTGCTTGAACCTGGAGGTGAAGGTTGCAGTCAGCTGAGATGGCACCACTGCACTCCAGCCTGGGTAACAAGAGCAAAACTCCTTCTCAAAAAAAAAAAAAAAAAAGCCCTGAGCTGAGCTCCCACACCACCCTTCCCCCCACCAGAAAAGGGGGAAAAGGTTTAGGAACCATGACTTGAGAGGAAGATGAAGGCTCTAGAATGTTTAATAAGTGGCCGTTAAACTTCACAAAGTCCTGATAGTCATCTCTAGGAAGTGCTAGCAAGAGCAAACAGACAAGAGAAAGAAGGAAAGGGCATCCAAATTGGAATGCCTAAAGACTCCACCAAAAACCTATTAGAACAGATAAATTCAGCTAAATTGCAGAATACAAAATCAAGGTACAAAAATTGGTAGCATTTCTATGCACCAACAGCAAACAATCTGAAAAAGAAATCAAGAAAATAACTCCATTTGCAATAACTACAAATAAAATAAAATACTAGGAATAAAAGTAACCAAAGAAGTGAAAGATCTCTACAATGAAAGCTATAAAACGCTGATGCAAGAAATTGAAGAGGACACAAAAAATAAAAAGATATTCCATGTTTATGGATTGGAAGAATCAATATTGTTTCTTCTGCCCTTCCCTCTGCCCTAGACTAAGGCTGTCTGGTGGAGACAGGTCCACACTACCCAGAGAAATATACGGATTCAATGTAATCCCTATCAAATTACCAATGACATTCTTCAAAGAAGTTGAAAAAATAATCGTCAAATTTATATGGAACCACAAAAGACAGAGTAGCCAAAGCTATTCTAAGCAAAAAGAACAAAGCTGGACAAATCACATTATCTGACTTCAAATTATATCACAGAGCTGCAGTAACCAAAACAGCATGCACTAGCATAAAAACAGGCACACTGACCAATGAACCAGAATAGGGAACCTAGTTCTAAAAATAGAACTACCATATGATCCAGCAATCCTACGGCTGAGCATACACCCAGAAGAAAGGACATTAGTGCCTGGAAGAGACATCTGCACCTCAATGTTTGTTCCTGCACTGTCCACAATACCCAGGATTTGGAAGCAACCTTAGTACCCATCAACAGATGACTGAATAAAGAAAATGTGGTACATATATGCAATGGAGTATTATTCAGCCATGAAAAAGAGTGAGATCCTATCTTTGCAACAACATGTTTGAAACTGGAGGCCATTATATTAAATGAAACAAGCCAGGCACAGAAAGACAAACTTCGCATGTGCTCACTTATTTTTGGGAGCTAAAAATTAAAACAGTTGAATTCATAGAGATGGGAAGGGCAATGGGGGTGAGGGGGAGTGAGGATGCTTGTCTCATACAAAAATAGAGTTAGAATGAGTAAGATCTAGTATCTGACAGCAGAGCAGGGTGCCTTTAGTCAACAATAATTTATTGAACATTTAAAAATAACTAAAAGCATAATTGGATTGTTTGTAACAAAAAGAAAGGATAAATGCTGGAGGTGATGGATACTCCATTTACCCCGATGTGATTATTACACATTGTATTCCTGTATCAAAATAGCTCGTATACCTCATGAATGTAGACATTTACCACATACCCACGAAATCAAAAATTTAAAAAAAAACAGTCATCTGTGAATGCTAAATGGAGTAAGGGGCTTCCTGGAAGGCAGGGTGAAAAGGGAATCTCCAAAGGATGGTGTGTTGCAGTCTGGGAGGAGGGTGAGGTGCTGGGGTCACCTAGAGGGACGGGCTTGTGTGAAGCCTATGTGTTAGTGGTATGTGTGTGACTGGATGGCGGTGCCAGAAGTGTGGGGTAGTCTGTGGGAGTTGGTGTGGGGGTGACATAGGAGGGGAGACACGGAGGGTCTAGGTTCCCTTGGCTTCTGTGTGCAGCTAGGCCCGTATTTGAGAGTAAGCGAGTGTGTGTGCCTGTGTGTGCGTGTGTGTGTGCGTGCGCTCGTGTGTGCCGCCCCCAGCGTAGGAGGCAGATCTTTATCTTGGCCCGGGGTGCTTGAGGAGTTTCAGGCTTTCTCATAAGCTTCATCTCCCCGCCTCTCCACCCAGCCCTTGCCCCTCCATTCTCTGCACAGGAAGTGGGCTGGCCCTGGGCTTTTAGTCTTTAGCCGCAGCCTTCTCCTGGGCCAGAGCTGAGCAGGGCCCTGGGGAGATGGCCACGGTCCCAGCAGCGGGGAGGACTGGAGAGCGCGCGCTGCCACCGCCCCATGTCTCAGCCAGGTGATGCCCCCTCCTCCCTCCCGTCCCCTGTGGACCAGCCAGGGGGCTGGGAGTAAAGGTCACAGAGAAACTTTCAGCTCAGACTCAGTTCACCCAGCAGTTTCTGCCTAAACTCCCATCCCCCAACTTTATCTTAGAATTCCCCTGGGGAAGGAGTGGGGCCAGCTCTCAGGGCTCCTGGCTGAAGAAAAATCCAGTCCCCAGTCCCAGGTCACCCCTCCTTCCCAACCCACCCAGGGGAGGCTAGGGGCTGTTATGGGATAAGGGGCTTCCCTGGACCCTGTGTGCTGGGCCCCCAGCCTGGAAAGGTGGAGGAGGGGTGGGTGGATAGCCTGGGTGCCCTGAGAGGGTGCCGAGTATGGGGTGGGACAGGCGGGAGCCTCTCCTGACCTTTGTGGAATGGGGCCCATATACTGGGAGAGGCATCTCTGTGTTGAATGCTCATCAGGAGGCTTGTGGAGCAGGCGGGGAGGGGAGGGTCCCCTTGGAGAGCCAGCTGTGAAATGAAGTGTGCTATGTGGCCTCTGTGAGCCCCAGGCTGGAGGCAGAGCCCTGAGTTTGAGTCTGGGTTTGTCCCTTCCTCGGCTGCATGGCTGGAAAGGTCAGTAGCATCTCCAGGCATTGGGGATGGGACCCCATCTTTGGGGCTGCATCAAGCTCATGCTCTCTCCTCTCCTGGGTGCCGAAGCCTCCCACCCTTAACTGTGTTTGTAGCACCTCGGGGGACGGGGGTGTGGAGTGAGGGGCTGAGCTATCCCCAAGGTCCCCTTCCTTCCCCCACAGCCAGGGTCCCACACCTGGCTGGGAAAACCCCTGAAGTTAAATAGCAAGAGGCAAACACAGTATATGGGGGCAGTGGGGTGGCAGGTGGAGGTGGCCGGAGGGGATGAGGGAAGGACATGCGCCCCATCGAGTTCAGAGGTCAAGCGGGATGCACCACGGGCTCCCGAGCTTTACCACCCTGCTCCAGCCACCACGTATGCCTGATGGCAGCAGGGGCCCCAGACTGCATCTGACCAGGTTCAGATCCCAGCTCTACGCCCTTCTTGCCTGGGCGAGAGGCTGACCTGTGCCTCAGTCTTCTCATCTGGCAAAAAGGAGGAATACTAGAGCCTCCACATGGGGCTGCTGGGGGGCTAAATGCTGAACCGCCCCTGAGAGCTCAGGACAGAGATGGAGCAGGCCCCAGTCCCTGTCCGCTGCAGCATCTCACTGGCAATCAGATGGTAGGGTCAGCCGCTCCGTTCTGGGCTTCAGTTCTGGCATGGATCAAATTGGGAGGGGGGGCGAGACCTACCTTGCAGGGTTGTGGTGAGGACACAGGCATCCGTGGGTGTGACCAGTTTCGAGTCATGAAAGACAGGGCACTTGTGGGTGTGCCTGAGGACCAGGCGAGGGAGCTCTGGACTTGAGGCCCTGTGCTCCTCTTGCTGTCACCTGAGGCTGGGCTTTTCCTCGCCGTGCTGCCTTGAGTGGGTTCCTTGGCCTCCCTGAGACTCAGCTTCCCCTTTGCAGAATGAGGGTGCAGCCTCAGTGACTGCCAGGCACCCCCTCAGCCCTGAGCCCCTCTGGCACCCCCACACTGTCCTCCCCTGGACTTTGCTGTGTCTGTGCATGGCTGCAGCCCAGCCAGCGGGAAGCAGATTCCAGAAGCACTTTCTCTGCCTGCCTGGCTGCCTCTAGGCTGGGCCTGTGGTTTGCCCCTCATCTTCCTTTGACCTTGTGCCCCTTTGTCCCCCGCCACCTTCCTCCCACCCTGGGGCTCTCTGAATGTCCTGTCCTGGGTATGGGGTCATCCTGAGGCTGGGCCCTACCTGGGGGCAACCAGGGAGACCCCCACACAAAACACTGGTGGTGCCCTTGCCCGAGGGCCAGGCTGGCATGATTAAGCATGAAGGGGCACAGGGGCTGTGGGAGTCCGTCCCCTGGTTGGGCTCTCAGGGGCTGTGGGAGTCCCCTGGTTGGGCTCTGCACTCTTTGGGGTCCCTGCCCTGTGCCGTCTGCTACTGGGGGATCCCAAGAAAGAGGTGAGCAGCCTCCACTCTGGGGAGGTCATGCTCCCATGGAGACGATGGGCCAGGCCAGGGTGAGCCCATGGTACCCAGGACATGCACCTGCTGGTCTGTCTGTGCCCTGCTGGGCCCTGACTCCCAGGGCAGGGAGGGTGGCAGCCTTACCTTTGGGACCAGTGTCTGGCAGGAGTGAGCCTAGAATACCTGCTCCGCCTCTTGCTGTGTATGTGATCCTGGGCAAGTTAGGGGCTTGGAGTCTTAGCTTCCTCATCTGTGTAATGGGATAATAAAGCCATTGGGCAGCTTATGTGAGGCTGTTGGGCATATGTGAGGCACTTGGCCCCAGGCCTGGCACAGAGTAAGTGATCAGTGCGTATGACGAATATTAGTAGGTTACCAGTGCGTGTTTACCGTCGTGTGAGCTGTTGTGGTGGGAAGACGCGTCCGGGGAGTTCCCTGGAGGAGGATCCCTGCCTGGGAGCTGGGCAGTCTGCCCCGGCTAAGATTCCGGGAGGGCATCTTATCCGCTACATGACCTTAGGCAATGTACTTCACCTCTGTGTGCCTCAGTTTCCACGTTGGAAAATGGAGATAATAGGAGTCTCACCACCAGAGGCCCTTATTGCAGCATTTAAAGAGATATAAGTGGAGTCTGGCATACAGCAACCTGTCAGCCGATGGTTTTGGTGTGGTGAAGGGGTTGGCAAGCAGCGTGCAGGTGGGTTCTGATCCCAGCTCTGTGCTGGGCTCCTGATGTGACCGTTAGCAAGTCTGTTCCACTTCTGGACCTCAGTGTCCCCAAAGGTAGAACAAGGGACTGGGATTGCTCAGAGAGCCTTTGCAGCTCTGACAATGTGTGGGCCTCTGACTCTCATTCCTGTGACATCTGCCTTAGGAGATGGAACCCATGGCTGTCGGGGCCAGGGCGCGTGTCCCTGCTCCATGCTGGCTACGACGTAAGCTGTGAGACAACCCAGGCCCACCCAAAGCGCTCTGCTTTTTTTTTTGCAGTACTGAGGCCTCTGACCACACGCATTCATTTTACTGCATTTATTGAGCACCAACTGTGTGCCAGGCCCTGTGCCCAGCAGTCCCTGGAGCAAGTGCCCTGCTGGACCAACCCCTGGCCAATGCTGCCCTGCTGCTGCCAGCCTGGAGAAAGGAACAAGACGCTCAGAGGAGCAAGACCTCACCCTCCATTGTGGAAATCAGGGAGGGCTTTGTGGAAAAAGGCATGAAGGGCTGTTTGAAATGGGTTTGAAGGATGGTAGGTTCTGTAGGGGACCTGGGGAAAGGATAGACTTGGGAAGGACCTTTGGAGGACAAGCGTTGGTCTCCTGGCCAACTGGGGCTACTGGCTTTTGCAGGCGGGTAGGTGCAGTGCATGTGTGCTTCTGCTTGGGCACACACCCCTGCTTCTGTGAGGGCAGAGCCTGGAAGGGTTCGCTGATCTCGTCCCGGTCCCAGAAAGCCTCGAAAGCGGGAATTTGGGCTTTGGTTGCAACAGGGCCACTGAAGGTTTCTGGGCAGGGAGGCGGGTAGTTGGGCTTCAGGGAAGGCAGGTGACAGCCGGCCGATGGGGTGATGCCATCGCCCAGGTTGGTACAGCACGGGGCTGGCCTGGTGAGTGTGAGGAAGAGACAGCAAGTTGTCATTGGACTGTCCTCCTGTGTATGGAGTGTCCTGGCTGGCTAGGTATAAGGACAAAGGTTCCCTGGAACAGGAAGGGTACAATTGTCCCAGACCTGAAAGTCAGACAGGAGAAGAGCTGGGGATGAGCTGGGTTTTTGCTGGGACCAGGAGCATCCCCTGTGAGGGGGTCCTGCAGACCATCAGGAGAGACGTGGGGGCTTGGGGCTGAGCTGGAGGAAGACCCTTGGAAGTTGAGGGCTGAGGCCATTGAGAGACTGAGAGAGAAGGGAAGGGGAGGAAGAGGTGGGAGCTGCTGGAGAGGGAAGAGCAGGCGGCAACAAAGCCCAATGCCGAGGGGCCTTGGAAGCTCTCAGGATGGGAGGGCAGGACGGAGGGAAGGATGTGCCACCTCCTCCCCAGCTCTCGACTCATCTGCCCCTTTCCCCTCTGCCCCGCCCCTCTGACTGGGGCCACCTCGTCTTTCCCTGGAAGCGCCCTCCTCATCTCCCTGCCTCCCCCTTTGCCTGCTCCAACCAACTCTCCTGGCGGCAGTCCCCGCACCTTCCCGAATTGACGGAGTGGTCACTTTCTCTTTCCCCTCCATGCACCCAGCCCTGGAGGGGGTGGGAGCAGCCACATTTCTTGGTTGGCTGTTTCCCCTGCGACAGTGGTGGTCGCCTCACCTGTGTGCTGAACGGAGCTTCCACGATGGGCTAGGGGTTCCCTGAGAAGAGGCGCTGGCAGACACTATTTCTTATTGGACCTCAAATATGGGGGCCCCGGGAGGGGCCTCTCTGAAAGTCTCCTTGGCAGGAGAGCAGCATCTTGGCTGAACTGGGAAGGTGGTTCCCCAGGCGCCAAGGGCCATGGCGGCAGGCAGTCCTGGGTGCAGATCCTAGAGAATAGGAACAGGGATGGTGACCTGGGCTGATGCCTGTAAAAGCACTGGTCACTGGCTGCGGTGGCTCACACCTGTAATCCCAGCACTTTGGGAGGCCAAGGCGGACGGATCTCCTGAGGTTCGGAGTTTGTAGACCAGTCTGACCAACATGGAGAAACCCTGTTTCTACCAAAAGCACAAAATTAGGCAGGGTGGTGGCGGGCACCTGTAATCCCACCTACTCAGGAGGCTGAGGCAGGAGAATTGCTTGAACCTGGGAGGTGGAGGCTGTGGTGAGCTGAGATCGCACCATTGCATTCCAGCCTGGGCAACAAGAGTGAAACTCCGTCTCAATAAAAAAAAAAACAGAAAGAGAAAGAAAAAAAAAAGCACCAGCCAGGGGCCAGTGTGTAATAGAGGCTCTGGGAAACTTAGAGATTTCATGTCTCTTTCCTCCCTGGGGAATAACCTGGGTGACCAACCTGGTTCTGCCTCCAGGGAGCTTCCAGGTAGCTCCCCTACCTAGGGGAGTATGAGCGTGTATAAGGTCCTCCATAAAGACTACTGCAGCTGCAGCCCTCTGTGCCTCAGTTTCCCCTGTTCTCTAGGGCTCTTCAGTCTTCAGGTCAGAGCTCTTATCTGCTTTTCTGCTTCTCCAAGTTCACGTCCTGATGCCTCCATACCATTGCCTCAACTCCCTTGAGGGAGAGCGAGGGGCAGAAGCAGTCGCTATGCTTGGAGCCCTCTGGAAGCCCCTCTGCCCGCTGACTTTAGCTCGCTCTGTTTTTATTCCATCACTTGTTTGTTCAAGAATTTTTTTTGCCAGGTGCCTACTATGTGCTGGGCACTGTTCTAGGAATTGCGGACCTCGCAATGAACAAAACACAAAAATCCCTGTCCTCAGTGAGCTTACGTGACTCTGTGTGTGTTTGTGAAGAGAGATAGAGGAAAATATAAATCAGTCAATAAACAACAAATAAATAGTGCCATGATGAAAATGTGGGGGTATGGTGAGTAGGGTGCTTCTTCACGCAGTCTAGTCAAGGAAGGCCTCTCGAAGGAGGCGGCAATGGAGCAGAAACTTGAAGGAAGGCTGTGAGCATGCATGGGGCAGTGGGACGAGCAGGTACAAAGGCCCTGGGGCTGGACTGAGCTGGCTGGCACAGGGCAATGCAGACCACGCATACTGAGGGGGCAGCCCTGCCTGCCTCTGGGGACAGCAAGGCCTGGGGTGTGTGTTTATGTGGGCTCTCTCTCCCTCCTCTCCCCCAGGGCTTCCTTCCTCAGCTCCATCCTGTGGATATAATGGCTGCCCCTGCTCTGTCCTGGCATCTGCCCCTCCTCGCCCTCCTTCTGTCCCTGGCGACCCCTTGGGCATCCGCAGCAGTGAACGGTAAGGACCCTGGCATCTGGACAGCTGTGCGTTCCCTAGGGGAGGTGGCTAAGGCCCTGCTAAAGCCTCTCCCCAGAAGGAAAGGAGGCAGAGGTGATGGGGCTGCCTCCTGCCTCACCCTCTGTCCTGGACCCCCACCCTGACACGTGTGCCCGAATGCACACACGCATGCATGCGCGCACGCACACACACACACACACGCCTCTCCAAGCCACAGGCACATGCTGCTTTCTGTCCCTGCCTGCCTTAGCTTGCTATGGGAACTTGCAGGCTCTGGGGCTCCATTTCCTCTTCTCTAAAGTGGGCCCACAAGTTCATTATCCGCTAGTCAGAGTTACCCGCCTCCTCCTCCGGCCGACGTGGGGGCCAGGTGCAGGGGCAGTGGGCGTGCCTCGGCGGGGCATGGGCACTGCAGTCAGCACTCACACGACCTCTTGCCCAACAGGCACTTCCCAGCTCACATGCTTCTACAACTCGAGAGCCAACATCTCCTGTGTCTGGAGCCAAGCCGAGGCTCTGCAGGACACCTCCTGCCAAGTCCAGGCCAGGCCAGACAAACGGTGAGCGTGTCCTCCTGGCTGCACTGCAGAATCTTGGGATGGTGGGAGCTTATAGTCTGGATCCTATGCGTCGGACTCTAAGGAGTCCGCATTTACAGAATCTTGGATTAATAGGACCCACAGACACTTCGAATCACAGGAGGTGGGACCCAGGCGTGGAATTAAGGGATCGTTTAACAGATTTTGGGAGTCAGCTATTTTGACTTCTAGTACCTGGGTGGAGTCCAGGCTGCAGTGGAGGGGCTGGGGATGAGCTAGACAGGGAAGTTTGGGGATGCTGAGCTACAAGCCTGCTATGCCAAGGCTGGGCTCCACTCTAGAGGCAAGCGGAGAGGAAGTGGGGAGAAACAGGGGTCCCTAGGCATTTTTGGTAATCTCAGATTTTGAGAGACCCTGTGGGCAGCCGTGGGGACAGGGAACCTGGGAGTGGCTGGGGTGCCTGGGGGCTGGGGGACAGATATCACTCTGATGTAAACATCCAGGTGGCCGGTGAGTGAGGGACTGACCCCAGGTAGGCTTGATGGGGTCAGGGAGAAGAGGAAGGCCACAGAGAGGGGGCCAGGCCCAGGTGGATCCCATGGGGTGTGGGGTGGGGAAAATGGGAAGGGAGACGGATGGCCAGGGCGGGTGGGGGTCCTGGCTTCTGGGTGAGTGGTGATTCCAAAGGGCTCTGAAGGCCCAATTAAGGACCTGAGCCTCAGGGAGCTTTGGAGGGCTCCGGGTGGAGAGGACCTCCTGTGCTGACCTGGTTTGTTTCCAGATGACTGCAGGTGCCGTGGGACCAGGCTGGGGTGAGGGGCAGGACAGGTGCCTGTGCGGGAGGAATACCGGGAGTCAGAGGAGGAGGAGGTGCCCTCATGGAGGTTGGCAAAGGGGCCCCAGCCGGGCCTTGCTGCCTGGAGCCACCCTGGCAGCAGAGAGATCTGAGAAGATCGCTTGGGCCAGCTCTGTGGGTCCTTCCTGTTCTTCTAAGGAGGTGCTTTTGCCTTGAAAGGCGGTGGAACCAAACCTGTGAGCTGCTCCCTGTGAGCCAGGCATCCCGTGCCTGCAACCTCATCCTCGGACCCCCGGATGTGAGTAGCCCGCCCAGGGAGAGGGTGCAGGGAGAGGGCGGCCTCCCAGCTCCAGGCTGCAGTCTCGGGGTGGGCCCGATGCAGGGGAGGAGCTGGGGCCCAATGGCCGGCTGAGGCCAAGCAGCACGCCCAGTGTGGAGGAGGAGGTGGAGAAAAACACGTGACACCCCAAGGTGTGGCCTCAGGGCTGCCCCAGGGCCGAGGAAACCTTCTGTGAGGCATCCGCCACTCTGCCTCTTCTCCCGCTGTCTTCCCTGCGCTTTGTGGGCCCTATGACACTTGTGTTCCTTATCAAGTAAGATGGCCCCCGGTAACTAATAATGACCACACCTGCTCGTCCTGGAGTCTTGGCTGCTCAGCGCAGTGTGGGGGCGAAGGCTGCAGACTTGGGAGCTAGATGCTCCAGCCCTGACTTCACCTCATTCAGCTGGGTGACACTGGGCAGTCCCTGTGCCCCAATTTCGCCTTCTGTAGAATGGGCATTATAATGGTACCTACTTGCTTGAGTCAAGGCCCAACAAAGGCTTTGTTGTTTAGGACCTCCCCAGCCTGAAGGTGGGACCTCACCAGGGACCCGCCCCCTTCTGCCCAGGCTGCTCTGGCCAAGGGCACCTGCAGGCCAGTGCCAAGCTGTCCCCGGTGCTCCCTTGGCTCCTCAAAGTCCAGGGGACAGAGGGGGCCGAGGCAGCCGGGGCCAGTGAGTCACTGCTGCCCCGAGCTTGGGCATGTCTGGCCTGGCTGTGGCAGCACCTGGGCTTGGCCTTGCTCTGAGATTGGATTAGGAGCAGATACCCCCAAGCCTGTGGGGGCAGCGAGGGTCCTCTTGGGGACTCCGAGAGCACAGAGACGCCTGGGTCCAGGCTTGGGCGGCTGTAGCTGCACCAGGGGAGCTCCTAGCTACTTTGGAAGGGGCGGGGGTCCCTCTTGTCCCCAACTTGCACTGGATCCATGGAGCATGCAGCCCCGGCTGTGCCTCCAGGATCGGATCGGGCGCCAGAAGCAGGGAAGAGGCCAGACCGTGGGAGCAGACACCTCTGAGCCTGCGGAAGCAGGGGGCATCTTCCCAGCAAAGACATCGTCAACCTGAGGGTGATATGCCGTGAGGGGGCGTGATAGAGGATGATGACCACTCAGGACACCCGGACCACATCTTCCACCACCATCGGGTTATATGTATTCCCGAGGGGCAGGAGAGTGTGGAGATGGAGTCCCACAGTGGAGCTGATAAACTCACAGCCTCTGGAACCCGATGCTGTGTCCGGGCAGGGAGCTCTGTAGGTGGCCTGGTTTCTGATCCTGGCTCCACTATTTCTTAGCTGTGTGATCTCAGGCAAGTCCCTAAGCCTCTCTGTGCTTCAGTCTTCTCAGCTATAGGATGGAAATAGTAACAGTGCCTGTGCCCAAGGCTGTTGAGAGAATTAAATGAGATAATATATGTAAAGTGCTCTAAAGAGCGCCTGGCACCGTGTGAGTGCCCAGGAGAATGCATGATTGGCAGTATTTTTACAACAATGATAATAGGAATAATAATGATGAGACTATATTATCTGGGAAAATCTAGCCCCCAGAGCAGCTATAAGAAGGCTAGGACAGGATCTATGGGGTGGAGAGGAACTGGCCAGTTTGGGGAATTCTAATGACCAGGTTCAAGGTTTGCTCATTGTGGGTCTTACACAGGTCACAGGGACTGTGCCCACGGTCCTGGCCCTGAAATCGGCATCCTGGACTCAGATCCTAACAGGCCTATGCTTCTCAGATCCAGGCCCTGGGTCCAGATGTGGCTGTGGACTCAGGCGTCCCTGCACTCTCAGGCTCTGGGAAGATCCCCCCTGCCTCTGCAGGCTCGGAGGGGCAGGAGGCGCCCACTGTCTGGCGTCTTCCCTGCTTCTGGCGCCCGATCCGATCCTGGAGGCACAGCCAGGCCTGCGTGCTCGATGAATCCTGCACTAGACCTCCCCTAAGCCGCTCACTCGGCAGCCCTCTGTCAGGCGTGTCGGGCCAGGACTCGGAGACGCAGCCGTGCTGCAGGACACAGAGGGCCTGGGTTTAAACCTGGGCTTCCCTGCTGTCCAGTGCATGACCTCAGGCAGGTCCCTTGACCAGCCCAAGCCTCAGGCTTCCCACCCACACCATGGGATGGATGCTGTGTGCTTGAGGGGCTGGGGCATCTGAGCAGTGCCTGCTCACAGGAGATGCTCAATACCTGCCTGTTTTCTTCCAGAAAATTCAAAGGGTAGGGATGGGGAGAGGTGGGGCAGGAGAGGGCCTTTCACACTAAAAAATGTTAAACAGGTACTATTCCAGACCTGTACCTTCGTGGTGGCTTACCAGCTTGCATGCCTCCTGTGACAGGGAGCTCACTCCCTCTCAAGATAGTTTGAGGTACCTCTCGAGGTAGCTCAAGACCTAACCTGATCATTTTAGATCAGGCTTTGAACTACCTTGACCCATGGGTTACATCCAGCCCACTGCCTGTGTTTGTAAATAAAGTTTTATTGGAACACAGCCCTGCTGTTCATTTAGATGTTGTCTGTGTCTGCTTCACACTACAGTGGTAGAGTTGAGTCATTGTGACAGAGACCACGTGGCCTGTAAAGCCAAAAATAGTTGCTATATATAGCATTTTATAGAAAACGACTGCCTTGGGTGATGGGGCATGTGGAGAAGCTCCCGTCCTCCCCTGGTCATCCTGGTGGCCTCCCCATTCCCCCACCCCCAGCTGCCAGAAGCTTCACCCCTGCTCTCCTTCCCCTGCAGTCTCAGAAACTGACCTCAGCGGACATCGTCAACCTGAGGGTGATGTGCCGTGAAGGGGCGCGATGGAGGATGATGACCACTCAGGACTTCGAACCCTTTGAGAACTGTGAGTGAGGAAGCCAGGGTGGGGCTGGGGCAGGGCTGGGCCCCCCTTTCCCCGCGCCTCCTCTGGGATCCTCCCTGCTCCAGCCTCTCTCCCCTGAAGCTTCCACACCTACATCTGATCACCTCACTGCCCACTGTTCTCGGGATGAAGTCCTGGCTCCTTACTCTGGCATTCAAGGCCTCTTAGGCTCCAGCCCTGGGCCTCCTCCCTGGTACTCCTCCGCTTGTGGCCTATATTTCTGCCACAACTAAAGGCCTGCTCTCCACACCCACCTTGCCTACCCATGCCTCTGAGCCCTTGCACATGCCAGTCCCACTGCCTGGAAGGCTCTTACACCTGGAAAATTCCCACTCATGCTTCGAGGCTTAGTCGAGAGCCACTTCTTCCAGGAGGCCTTCCTAGACTCCCCTAGCTCTTTGTACATCCTCTTTCAGGGACTGTCTGCCTGGTTGTAGGTCTGTCTCTTTCACTGGGCTGTAAGCACCCTGAGGGCAGAGTCTCTGCCACCCCTGTGTCTCCTTGCCAGGCACCCAGCACTAGGTCTCATCAGGACAGTGCTTTGGCAAGGTTTGTTGAATGCCCGAGTGCCTGCCTGCTGGCCTTGGGGGCCATATCCAGGGAAGCAGTGGGGTAGAAAGAGAGTCAGGCCTGAACTGGATGCAATCTGACTGGCAGACCGTCGGACCTGCCTGAGCCTGAGTTTTGGGGAGAATCGGAGTCACCTACCCCACAGGCTCATAAGGCATTTTTGAAACAAGACAACAGAAACTGCTTACCATGTAGTCAGCACTCAACGTCTGCTTGTCACTTATGTGGTTCTACAGAGTCTCAGAAGTATAGCAACTGAGGCTCACTTAACTTCAGAATCACACAGTGCTATAATCATCACATTTCAAAAAAGTGAGATGATCCATGTAAAGCTCTCAGGTCACTTCTTTTTTTTTTTTTTTTTTTTTTTTTTTTGAGACGAGTTTCACTCTTTTTTCCCAGGCTGGAGTGCAATGGCGCGATCTCGGCTCACCGCAACCTCCGCCTCCTGGGTTCAGGCAATTCTCCTGCCTCAGCCTCCTGAGTAGCTGGGATTACAGGCACGCGCCACCATGCCCAGCCAATTTTTTTTGTATTTTTAGTAGAGACGGGGTTTCACCATGTTGACCAGGATGGTCTCGATCTCTTGACCTCGTGATCCACCCGCCTCGGCCTCCCAAAGTGCTGGGATTACAGGCTTGAGCCACCGCGCCCGGCCAGCTCTCAGGTCACTTCTAAGTGCAGAGAAAAGCTGCCGTGAGCCATTCATTCAGCAGATACTGAATTAAATACCAGATAATATTCCAGGCGCCAAGGACACAGCAGACAACCAAGTCCCTGCCCTCAAGGAGCTCACAGTCTGCTGGGGGAGACAGAAAGTGAATAAAGAAACCAAAGCGTCGATTTCATAGGGCAGGTGATAATGAATGAGCACCGTGCATAGAGATTCAGCAGGCAAAGGGGATGCCGAGTCGGGGTGCTCAGGGAGGGCTTCTCTGTAGGGGACCATTGAGAGGGTCCTGGAGGCAGGGAGGGAGTGGGCCCCGGGGCTCTGGGCATGGGAGTGGTAGGACATGCTAGGAGAGGGGAGTGGCAGGTGCCAGGCGCGAGGTGGAGGTCATGCCTGGCTGCTCTTCCTTCCCCACTCTTGTCTCCAGTTCGCCTGATGGCCCCCATCTCCCTCCAAGTCGTCTACATGGGGACCCATGATTGCAACATAAGCTGGGAAATCTCCCAAGCCTCCCACTACTTTGAAAGAAAACTGGAGTCGGAGGCCCGGATGCTGTCCCCAGGCTGCACCTGGGAGGTGAGAATGTGGCCCAGTCCCCAGCTGCTCTGATTCCTCCTTCCTGTCCTGGTCCATGTCCTGTCCCTTTGTCATTTCGGCAAGATCCCATCAGCCTCAGGTGGACGACGGTGAGTGACAGTCCAGCCCTGTGCTCTTCTGCCCTGCCTGGGGCGGCCTCCCCTCCTTCCACGTCCTCCTCATCTAGCCCCCTTAGTCCTGGGGATCCGGCTGGCAGCAGGTTCCAGGCTGACTCCAGGGAAAGATTCAGACACCCAGGAGGCAGGCAGCTGCCCAGCCCTGTGGGCTTTCAGAGGCCCGGGAACCACCCTCTGTGCGTCAAAGCCCACCTGCTCCAGGTCCACGCGGATCTGTTGCTTATTCATTTACCGTATACTCACGTCTTTATTCACTCAATTGCTCACTCAACAAATATTTGCTGAGCACCTACTATGCGCTGGATGATGGGGAGGGGTGGAGAGTGAACTTAGCAAACTTCTACTCTCAGGAATCTCACGCTGGGGCGGGGCAGGCAGGCAGGCAGCAGACTCATCAACAGGCTCTGGGACAGTGACTGTATGGGGTAGTGACAAGTTCCATCAGGAAAACCAAATGGGGCAAGGTATTTGACAGTGACGGGCACAGGCCATTTCAGACTTGGGCGACCAGGGAAGGACTCTCTGACACCTGGGGATCCAGAAGAGCTGACCTGCAAAGATCTGGGGAGAGTTTTGCAAACACAAGGACCTGCCCCGCAAAGGCAGGATGGAGCTGTGTGTCTGGGGAGCGACCCAGGGTGGGAGGGCTGCGTGGAGATGCCCTGCTTTCTGGTCCTCTGGAGAACAGACTGCAACGGGGCATGGGTGGGAATCAGAGAGCAGATGCAGGCGTGGGAGAGGGAGGCAGCTCAGGCCTGGGTGGGTACGGGGGGGAGAGAAATAGATGGTTCTGGAATGGCTCTGGGGGTAGAACCAGGTTCTGGGGGTGGAACCGGACCCTGGGGGTGGAACCCAGTTCTGGGGGTGGAACCCAGTTCTGGGGGTGGAACCAGGCCCTGGGGGTGGAACCGGGTTCTAGGGGTGGAACCAGCTGATCAGCTTGACGGCTTGGGCTTTAGGGGATGAACTTGGGGTTTGAAGCTCCAGCAGCTGGGTAGTGAGGGGGCTTTTGGGTGGGAAGGGAGTGGGGTACAGCTGGCAGGGGGCGAGGAGGGTGCTGCGGTGCTCAGCCTCCTGGACCTGCCATGGGAGGTGAGGTGGGCACTGACAGTCCTGTCTCTGCCCCAGGAGGCCCCCCTGCTGACCCTCAAGCAACAGCAGGAATGGATGTTCCTGGACACGCTCACCCCAGACACCCACTATGAGCTTCAGGTGCGGATTAGGCCTCTACGAGGCAAGCACACCACCTGGAGCCCCTGGAGCCAGCCCCTGACCTTCAGGACGAGGCCTGCAGGTACTGGTGGGCAGCAAGGGTGGGAGGGCGCTCAGGCAGGAGGTGTAGGGCTGAGGGCCCCACAGGGTCGTGGGGTGAGCCTTATGCTGTGCTGAGGCGCAGGATCTGAGAAATAAAGAGACAGGACACAGAAGTACAAGGAAAATGCAGCTGGGCTCGGGGGCCATGCCACCTATATGTGCAGTCAGGCGAGGCCCTGAATGTCCAGAAGCGTGAGTGTTTATTGTGTATAGGTTAGGGGGCAGGGCAGTGAGTGAAATCATCTATAAGGATAGTGATAGGGTCGTGAGCAATAAAACATGGGGTCCACCCCCATTAGGTCACCTAGGCCAGGAGGTGGACAGTGTGTAGCAAGGGGCCTGTTCCCATGAAGGCAAGGGCCATATGCATTAAGGGGTCCACCCCCATTAGGTCACCGAGGCTTGAAGGTGGGCTGTGCACAGTGAAGAGGGTGCAGTGTGCAATACTTCTATCTATGGGAAAACTACTTCTAAGAAGATTTATAGGAGGATGCTTTAAGTCACATAGCAGTGACAGAGCAGTCAAGGTTACTGCCACCTTCTGGCAGCTTCCAATGGGCTCTATGGGAAGATGCTTTTCAAGCAGCACAGTAGCAAGAGCTGATAAAGTTCACAGTCACCAAGGTGGATTGCTGGTCTGAGGGCAGCCTTCCACAAGAACTGGAGCAAGGTCCTACAACTCCTTTATCAGGAGGAGTTGGCTCTCGCCCCAAGCCTGCCATACAGCGGGTATCTTTACGATACTGAACGCTGCCGCCTGGGCCATGGATTCTTGTCCTGGTATAACCGTTTTCCCTTAATTCATGCTCTGTACTGTGTCCACTCTAGGCATTCCTCCGATTATGAACTAAGATATAATTATAGGTATATATGTAGGGAAATATTCTTTAGACACTCATACCATCAAGTATTATATGATTATATGTAGAGGATTATATAAAGGGATGCTTTAAGCCCTAATTCTATAAACTAATATATGATGATGTAAAGGATTATATAAAAGGAAATAGCTGAGTAGTAACACTATAAAGTGAGATATTCCTCAAGCCCTAACTGTGCCAGGGTTCTGCTTAGCTCTCATTCCTCGGTGCCTGTATGGGGGGGTTACCCACAGGAGGGGTGGCTGGGGATGGCCCTGGGGGCGGCTGGGAGAGAAGCTGCTCTGTTCTCTCCCTGCCTGGGGTGAGGCTGCAGCAGTCAGCTCCATCCCTCACTTGTTGTGACCCTGCAGGGGACCCGGTTTTCAGACAGGAACAGGATTCAGTGAGGGGACCGGGCTTGCCGTGGGCCCTGTGAGTTGGGGAGGGTTAGAAAGGCTCTTTTCACTTCTCTCCACCCTGAAATGTCAATTGCCCGGTTTCTGCCGGGGCTGGGGGCGGCTGCTTTCACCTCTCGGCCTCATCTGTGAAATGGGTAAGGTGACAGCGAGGCAGGCCTGCTGGGAGGAAGGCGTGCGAGGCCCCGGGAGCCTGTCCCTCATCACATCACATTCTGAGTTAATGCAAGCAAGACCTGGGGTCCTCTAAGTGGTGCGTGGAGGGGGGTGGAGGGAGGGGTGCAGCCAGGTGGAGCCCAGGCTGCCCTGGGGGCAGTGGGAGGCTGTGGGCTTGCCAGGTGGGCCCATGGGATCTGTTTGGAGCTGAAGGAGCTCTTGGAAGGCCACCGTGTCATTTCTTTTTAGCATCAAATCTGGCTTCCCAGAGAGGACAGGCTTAGCAGAACCCTGTCTGTTCCCAGCACCCCAGACGCAGGCCTGCCTGGCAGGGCCCTGGACTGGGATGTTGGAGTGACCCAGGGTGAGTGGGGGCGCTTTTCTAACCCCTCTCCTTGCTGTTTCTCCCGCCCCTGGGCAGCCCCTGGGAAGGACACCCCGCCTTGGCCCAGCCACCTCCTTGTGGGCTTCAGCGGGGCCTGTGGCTTCATCATCTTGGTCTACTTGCTGGTCAACTGCAGGAACACCGGACCATGGTAAGAAGGTGCTCCTCTCCTTCCTTTGTGCTTCCACCCCCCAACACACACACACATGCACACACACATGCACATGTACACACAAGCACACACATACACACAGGCGCACACACACGCATACATGCACACACAAGCACAATGCACGCACACACCCATGAGCACACGCATGCACATACACACACATGCATATACACACATGCACACAATCACATGCACACACACTTACACATACTCCCACCCCAACACGCACACACGTGCACACACACATGCATGCACATGCACACAATCACATGCACACACATACACACTCCCACCCCAACACATACATGCACACATGTACACACGTGCACATGCACACACACAAACACACATGCACACACTCCCACCCTCAACACATACATGCACACATGTACACACATGCACATGCACATACACAAACACACATGCACACGCACACATACATGCACACATGCCACCTTGCCGGGTCAGATTCTGGACAGCCCCTGCTCTGATACACTTCTGCTTCCTCTTCCTTCCAGAGAGTCCTCCCTGTCCAAAACCTGGCTTTTTCCCTGTGTCCGGTCCCCACAGGGGAAACCTATGGAACCAGCCCAAGGGGAAGGTGGGAAGTGCAGCCCTCCAGGGAGCGCCCCTGGGGTCCTGTTCAGAGCACTGCTCTCAGGACTGGGGGTGCCCGCGTGCATGTTGGCCGTGTCTGTGTCTGGGTCCCCACCGGTCCATCTCGGTCTGACTGTCATTGGCTTATTCCCATACCCACTGAGTACCAGCTGCATGCCAGGTGCAGCTCAGAGTGCTGGGAATGGTGGCAGGCCATAGGCCTGTGCCCCAGCTCCGTGCAGCTCACAGCCCAGAGGGGAAGGCAGATAATCATGCAGGCGTGTAACGACACACCAGGGTCAGGATGGCAGAGGAGGGTGCCGATGTGTTGCCATCCCTCGGGATCCATGGGGAAGTGGTTCCAGGCCCCCCACCCCACCGCAGATACCAAAGCTGGTGGATACTCACTCAAGTCCCCAAAGTTTTTTTCTTTTTCATGGAGTGCTGCTCTCCTGACCCCCGTCCTGGATCAGTGGTTATTAGCGGTGTTCGGAGCCCGTTTCCCCTTTCCTCCCAAGAAAACAGGCATTCCTCCACCCACCTGTCCCCTCCCCCAGCTCCCTGCAGGCTTTCAAGGGAAACATGTCCCTGCAGGGTGAGAGGTCCTCTCCCAGGCGTGGGTTCAGTGGCCTCCAGACTGCCCTCCTCCTTGTCGTTCTTGCGCACTTTGTCCTTTCTTGACCATGTCATTCTCCTGTTTAATGCCCTTCAGAGGCTGCCCATTGCACGGGGCCTCCACCAGCCACGTGGAACCTTTGTGCAACTAAAAAATGGTGCCTCTTTCTTCCAGGCACTCAGCTTGGCAAGCAGAAGATGGGCTAGAATTCAGCCTCACTCACCACCTCTCCTGCTCCCTGCCCAAGCCTAATGCCCTTGGGCATTGCACAACCTGAACCACCACCCATGGCAGCCCTGACAAGGAAGCTTCTCTCTCCTCTCCCTCTTCCTGGTTCACTCCACTTTTTCTGGCCATCTCCCTCCCTGACCCTCTCTCTGGCGTGTGTATTTGCCCCCACGGACCCCCACGTCTCCATCTCATGAGATGGAGAACACCCTGCTCTCTGTCTCCACAGAACGAACTGTGATGTTGCACACATGCTTTGTATCTGTCTCCCCATCAGAATGTCAGCTTCTTGAGAGCAGGGACCTCCTTTGCCAGCCATTCTTGTCTCCTCAGTGCCCAACACAATGTCCTCCCACAGTGAGCACTCCGTCGGTATCGGCAGAATCTATACAGAAGTAAATGTGGCGTGGCTCTGTGCCCTGCATCCGGAGCTGTGGCACTGACAGGAGGACGCCACAGCCCTTCCCATTCTCACCCTCCTTCTCTCCTCTCCTCTGTCCAGGCTGAAGAAGGTCCTGAAATGTCACACCCCAGACCCCTCGAAGTTCTTTTCCCAGCTGAGCTCAGAGCATGGAGGAGATATCCAGGTAGGAGGCCGGGGGGCGGAGGCAGAGGAGGGCAGGGCTGTGAGTGGGATGCGGGGGTGGGAGGGGAGTAGCTAGTTTTGTGGTTTTTGAGACGGGACAAAACGCTGAAATGAGCAGGCTCCTGGCTGGGCGTGGGTCTTTTCTCCAGCTCTGGCACTTTCTGTCTGAGCCGGACTGCCTGGGTTCTAATCCCAGCTCCACCACTTTCTGGTTGCACGACTTTGGGCCATCTGTGGAGCCTTTCTGGCCCCAGTTTCCTCACCTGTTAGATGGGGAGAAAAACAAACAGTGTTACTATGTGTCCTGCCCTGAGAACATGGCCCAGCGCACAGTTAAGTGTTCAACAGGACCCTATCTGGTATTACCGTGGCCAGTCTGCTGAACGAACAGAGCCTGTCAGTGCAAGCTCTCTCCACCCTACGGTCTGTGCAGATGTGCCCCGTGCTTCTCCTGTCCCCGCCCCAAATTCCTGAGCAGGCTCTGTAACTTAGCTCAGATGCTAACAAGTCTTCTGGTCACTTTGAGTCCCAAAACACCGACCTCACTTTTTTTTGAGACGGATTCTCACTTTGTCACCAGGCTGGGGTGCAGTGGCACGATCTTGGCTCACTGCAACCTCCGCCTCCCAGGTTCAAGTGATTCTCCTGCCTCAGCCTCCCGAGTAGCTGGGACTACAGGCATGCGCCACCCTGCGCAGCTAATTTTTGTATTTTTAGTAGAGACAGGGTTTCACCATCTTGGCCAGGATGATCTTGATCTCTTGACCTGGTGATCCACCTGCCTCAGCCTCCCAAAGTGCTGGGATTACAGGCGTGAGCCACCTTGGCCACACTGTTCATTTTTCAAGTACCGGCTCACAGAGCAGTAACGCTCTGAACTCTGTTTCAAATTCAGTTGTCACCTCTTCCCCAGCCCATGCCCCTTCAGACAGGAAGCTTCAAGAGTGAAGGGGGGATGTGTGGGGGACCTTATACCACCCTAGTTCCACTCTAGGCTCCTAAGATTGGGGGGTGGCAATGAGGTAGGGGCAGAGGGAGGTCAAGAGGAGTATTGGGGAGGAAAGCCACGACGGACCAGAGCTGTCATGCCCTGGCTCTGGAGTTCTCTATCAGGGCCGACCAAGGGCCCCTTCTGGAATTCCTTGTAAAACTCCCAAGACAAGAATATCTTAGTTGCAGTATTTTTTTTTTTTTTTTTTGACATGGAGTCTTACTCTGTTGCCCAGGCTGGAGTGCAATGATGTGATCTCGGCTCACTGCAACCTCTGCCTACCAGGTTCAAGCGATTCTCCTGCCTCAGCCTCCCTAGTAGCTGGGATTACAGGCACACACCACCATGCTCAGCTGATTTTTGTGCTTTTAGTAGAGATGGTGTTTCACCATTGGCCAGGCTGGTCTCGAACTCCTGACCTCAGGCGATCCACCCACCTTGGCCTCCCCAAGTGCTGGGATTACAGGCGTGAGCCACCACGCCTGGCCATTACTTGCAGTACTCTTGGTGTGCAGGAATATAAATCATTAAAATTCTTCCCCCAGCCTTGAAGGTAGCAAGATTCCTATCTATAAGGTACTTAAGCAAGCCATGGCTGCCTATGTGTCAGAAGCATGGTGGAAGAGATTCCCCATTGAACCGGTCAGAGGCTGGGCTAGCTTAGCTGTGTGCTCAGATCCTTTCCAGCTTCAAGTCCTGATTTTATGCGCCTAGGACATTGTGAGGTGGGAGGGTCCAAACCCTTCCAGCTGAGGGCATCCGTGGGTCTAGAATCCTGCCTGGGCCTAGTGTGTGGAGCACACTAGGAGGAAGGCACCATGTGGCTGGGGGTTGGGGCTGGCCAAGCGGGCACCACTTCTGCATCTGGGTGGGAGACCTACCCCTATCCTCTCTACCCCAGGACTCACAGGGGCCACAAAGCCCACCCCCCGCTTCCCAGGGGACCCTGGAATGTGCGTGCAAGTGTGGGAGTGTGTGTGAGGGGCACGAGCTTCTCCTGAAGTGGCCTTCAAGGCATGGTGGGCAGAGGACAGGCCCGGGAAGTGGCTGGCTGGAGGCAGTGGGCCTGGCTCTCCGGCGCTGGGCACAGGCCTGGCCAGTGCCTCTCTGGCTGCTCACTCACGGCTGCTGCCCAGCCCGCCGTAGTCCCAGGTATCATGAGCCTCCCCCGACCCATGCTTTTTCCTCTCTGCCCAGCCAGCGGCTCCTCTTTGCCATCCTCAGTTTACCCCTTCTGTCCCTCTCGGCCTTTTCTTTTGTGACATAACTCCTGATTGTGGGAAGGGGGCAGATTTAATTGAGTGATGTGTGCATGTGTGTGCATGCATGCGAGAGTGTGTGTGTGTGTGTGTGTGTGAAGCAGCTGGTTCAGCCTTAGGGACTCCCCCTGGAGAGGAGAACTGGGCATTCGCTGCTGGTTCATTAATTCATCTGAAATAGATCCATGAGACCCGCCAGCCCTGTGCTGGGCAGAGTGCTGGGGAGCCCATCGGGCCTGGCCCCTGTGCTTAGGGGGCCATAGTCCAGCTGCTGAGGGCTCCTGGGACGGAGGGTTGGCAGTGCCCCCAACTCACCCACCCGAGGCCCTGCCGCATCACCGGGAAGTCCCGCTGTCCCCCACGCTGCTGTGCAGTCTGTATCTCACCCTGTTTCGGGTGTTCACATCTCCATTTGCTTACCTGACGTCTCCCTGGTGACCTGATGGGTGACCGCGAGGAAGTCAGGAGAGACTTGGCTAACTGTTGTGGAAACTGAGGCCCAGAAAGGTGCAGGAGCCTGCCCAGGGTCACACAGTCAGTGAGTGCCAGGGCCAGGGCTAGAACCCTGGTCTCCCCACTCCTTGCCAGGGCTCTCTGGATTCCTGAGCAACTGAGAAGTACTCTGATGGGCACTTTCCTCTCTCTGTGTGGGGAGGGGATGGAAGGCAGAGGGGGTGGGGGCTGCAGAGAACTGAAGAGGAGAGGCGAATCAAGAAACCATCAGCTCCCCCCAGAGACATTCCCACCACAGTGTAAGCGGGGACCCTGGGTCCATGACGGGGCCAGGGCAAGTCCCTCTCTGGGCATCTGTAAGGTGAACAGGCTGTGCTTTCAGTGCCCTTCTGCTTTGGTACGGGTGGATCGATTCATACACTTGTGCTAGTGCCCGCTGGCCAGTCTGAGGATTCTCTCCTTTGCTGTGTCCAGCATCTAGAACAGTGTCAGGTTCACTGCAGGTACTCAATAAACAGTCACTCTTGAGGAAGTAAATATTCCTGGGCATGACTGGGAGCCAGGCAGGCTTGTGCTGGGCTGTGGGTCAGGCAGTCTTCCTGGGTGGGTGGCCCAGAGGGCTCCCCAAGCCAGTGGGTGGGTTGGGGGAGTGCAGAGCTACAGTCAGGGAGGACTTCCTAGAGGGAGAAGCCCTGGACCAACTGCTTCAGGAGGATGAGGAGTCAGGAGCTGTTGAGAGTCCAGAGGAAGGGGTGGAGGGTGAAGGACGCCCCAACTTACCCACCCCTGGCCTTTCTCCCACCAGAAGTGGCTTTCCTCGCCCTTCCCCTCATCGTCCTTCAGCCCTGGCAGCCTGACACCTGAGATCTCGCCGCTGGAAGTGCTGGAGAGTGACAAGGCGACGCAGCTGCTCCTGCAGCAGGCCAAGGTGCCTGAGCCCACGTCCTTAAGCAGCAAGCGCTCGCTGACCAGCTGCTTCACCAACCAGGGCTACTTCTTCTTCCGCCTCCCGGATGCCCTGGAGATCGAGGCCTGCCAGGTGTACTTTACTTACGACCCCTGTGCAGAGGAAGAGCCTGATGAGGGTGGGGCCGGGGCGCCCACAGGGTCATCCCCCCATCCCCTGTGGCCTCTGTCAGGGGAGGACGATGCCTACTGCACCTTCCCCTCTGGGGATGACCTGCTGCTCTTCTCCCCCAGTCTCCTCAGCGGCCCCAGCCCCCCAAACACTGCCCTTGGGAGCAGCGGGGCCAGTGAAGAGAGGCTGCCCCCTTCCTTGCAGGAGAGAGTCCCCAGAGACTGGGACCTCCAGCCCCCAAGGCCTCCCACCCCAGGAGTCCCAGACCTGGTGGATTTCCAGCCACCCCCCAAGCTGGTGCTGCGAGAGGCGGGGGAGGAGGTCCCTGACCCTGGCCACAGGGAGGGGGCTGGTTTCCCCTGGGCCAGTCCTCCTGGGCAGGGCCAGGTCAGGGTCCTTAACTGTCGCTTGCCCCTGAACACCGATGCCTACTTGTCCCTCCAAGAACTCCAAGATCAGGACCCAGGTCACTTGGTATAGACAGATGGCCAGGGTGGGGGGCAGGCAGCTGCCTGCTCTGTGCCGGGCCTGAGCGGGGGCCTGTTGAGGACTCTGTGCCCGAGCCTAGTCCACTGCTGAGGACACTCAGTGTCCAGTCCTCTGGATGCCTCCACCCAGATGGCCCCCACCCCCTGCACACTTGGCCCATCCATTTCCAAACCTCCATTGCTGCTCCCTGGTCCTGCTGCCCGAGCCGGGAACTGTGTGTGTTGCTGGGGGAGGTAACTCCTCAATTCCCTCTTCAGTCACCCAGTCCCATGAGTTTAGTCTCTGAAGCATCGCTCCTCTCCAGCCCTGCAGCTATTCCCCATCAGTCCCCGAAGCTCTCCAGGGCTCCTCGCCCCACCTCTTCCCTGGGTTTTCTACCCCAGCCTCCTCCCCTCCCCTCCCTCTCCAGAGAGCAGCCTGAGCATGCTTTCCATAACCCAAACATGGCCATGCTCCTCCCCAGTTAAAAAATCTTGCATGGCTCCCGCTGCCATCAGCCCCGCTCATCTGGCACCTGTACCTCCTGCATCATGTGAGGACAGTCCCTTTGGCAACCGTCCCTACAGTTCTGAGCTGCTCAGAGCTCCCGCACACCCCCTCTGTCACACCTGCTTATTCCCTGAGCCTGCTGTGCCCTCCCCCTCATTTAGGTGACAAACTCCCCTGGAGGGAAGCACTTCCTCCCTTAATCTGCCAGAAACTTCTAGCCTCAGTGCTGGAGGTTGAAGCTATCAGGGACCCAGGGCGACTGGAGAAAGAGGCCCTGTTACTTGGGATCTCTGAGACCTCAGAGTGCTTGGCTGCTGCATCCTTCATGCTGGGCCCCAAGTATGGGCACAGGTCCCCCCACAAAGTAGACGCCTGCTGCATCTTCCCACAGTGGCTTCACAGACCCACAAGAGAAGCTGCTGGAGAGTAAACCCTGGGGTCCGAGGCCCAGGCAGCAGCCACTCCTAGTGCTGGGCCCTGATGCTGCCAGGCCTGGGACCTCCCACTCCCCCCTCCACTGGAGGGGTCTCCTGTGCAGCTCTGCAGGGGTTGGCACACTGGTCTCAAAAGGGCAGCTCCACGGGGCAGGGTCTCATTATCTTTTCACTGCCCTGGACACAGTGCCCAGCACCCCATTGTATACCTTGGATGGACACATGAATTACCTGGCAGCACCTGGTCTGGGCTCCCTGCGCCTGACATTCACACAGACAGGCAAAGTCCCATGCCTATGAGGTCTGGCAAGTCCCCTTCTGCAAGGGGCTCATCTGCACACCTCAGTCTTCCCCGTCTCACACAACTGGCCCCTTCCTTCTCGTGCCCCTCCCCTCCCCTCCCCTCCCCTCCCCTCCCCTCCACTCCCCTCCCCTCCACTCCCCTCCACTCCACCTATCTTTCCTCTGCCCCAGGCAGATCGCATTGCACCTGCACTTATAGGCCCTGCTCACAGCTGATTGGGCACTTGACCACATGTCCCCATAGGCTGAGCAGTAGCCTATGAGGGGGCCTGGCACAAAGCTCTGTCCAATCAGGTAGGCTGGGCCTGAACTAGCCAATCAGATCATCTCTGTCTTGGGCATTTGAACTCAGGGAGGGAGTCCCCTGGGACCAGGTGCTTGTGGACTAAGCTACCTGGAGAAGGTAGACAAGAATTGAGCCACTGAGCAGAGGACCTTGGGCTCCCAATACAAAAATACCTACTGCCGAGAGGGCTGCTGACCATTTGGTCGGGATTCCTGTTGCCTTTGTATCCAAAATAAGTTCCCCTTTCTTGAGGTTTTCTGAGTCTTGGGTCTGTGCCTTGAAAAGAACTTATTCACAGGACAGTCTCACCTCGTGCCATAGGGTCCTGCATGTTCCAGACCACAAGGAGCTCCACACCTTTGCTGCGTGTCCTGGGCAACCTACTAAACCTCTCTGCAAGTCAGCTTCCTTATCCCCCAAAGGGAAATTGTATTTGCCTGCTCCAGGAGGCTCCCACGTCTTGGGAGGGTTACATTTTTTAAGTGTTAGTCATTTGTGATCTTAGTATCTATACATCTGTATCTTTTAATGATCTGTGTGTACTATCTTTGTGATTATTAATATTTTTTCTTGAAGTCAATTCACTTTTTGTTAAAATACATTTATTTAAAGAAAAATATATTACTCTGTAAATGAAAACGATTTTCACTATAAATAAAAGGTAGCTGTACAAAGTAAGTACAATGCAACAAAATCGTGTTGATATTCATGGCCTGCTGAAAATCTGTTGTCGCTTAAAGGGGAAAAGAGAAGCAGCTAGGAAGCTGTTGAAGGAATCCCAGGGCCAAATGCCAGCTTCCTCCTTGAGAGGAAGAGGATTGTAAAGGGAATAGCTTTTTCACTAATAGGAGTCAGGTGTGTCTTGTTCTGTGTTTAGGCCCCATCTCGTGGCCATATCCCACAAGTCTATGCCTGGGGAAGTATTGCACTAGATGACAGATCTCTCTCTCTCTCTCTCTCCAGGTAAATAGATAGATAGATAGATGGATAGAGCCCTGATAAAAGTTGGACCAGATCATGGATGGCAATTCCTGGCATTCATAAAGCCATACTCATAGCAGACATTGCTAATCAATTACACCCATGCGTGGCAGACATTTGTAATCAACCACAGCCCTCGTGCAGTGCCTGGGTACAACTTCAGAGTGTGCAATGCTGTGCTATAGGCAGCCTCATCAGCTGATATCTGATGACATCTCTGGACCACATAATTCCTCAGTTTCCTAACACAAAAGGAGCTCTCATGTTTCCCAACTCCGACTTCCCAGACAGGGAACACTGAGGCTGAGCGGATGGAGACTGGAAAGCTGAGAGGGACCTGCGAGAGGCAAGCCCAGGGAACCCAGCTGTCCCCACCATGCCTGGTGAGAGAGTTGAGCTGGCAGGGAGCGGAGTCAGGGCCACCTTACACCAGGTGCAGATGGAGGGACGGGCCAACAGTCACTGTGTGTCATGTCCAGTGTGGGGCCGAGTGTGGATCTTAGGTGAGGAGACAGAGGAAGCAGCTGGCAGCGGGGGTGGTGATTAGAACCCAGGTGGGCCTGGGTCAGATTCAGGAGAGAAATAGCACCAGCTGGTGGCCAGGCAGCGTCCGCTGGAGGCTTCGAGAACCATCAGGTGCAGAGCGGGAAGCAGGAGGCAGCAGCGCAGATCTGGGGGTAAGAGAAAAAGGAGGAGAGGTGTGGGGGGCGGCTTCCAGGCTCTCATGTTTCCTCTTTGTTGAATTAGGTTTGTTCCTTGCTTCCCCCGTTCCCCTACCTCCCGTCTCTCATTCAAGCAACTTCTGGTGCCTGAATTTCCCAAGTAAATTATGGGGGAAACGAAACTGCAGGCCCAGTCTAGGATGAATCACCCACCACTGTCCTCATCACTGACCACTGAAAAAACAGACCAAAAAGCACATTTAGAAGTGGCAAGAGCCCCATAGTTATGTTCTACACGTTGTGCCAGTGTGGTCTGAGCGTCGTCTTTCATCGCCTGGAAACAACCTGAGAAGCAGGAGCTTCGTTCCCCATTTTGCCAATGAGGAAACAGAGGCCCAGGGAGGCGGAGAAAGGCAGCCGATGGTGCGTAGCGCCAGGATTCAAACTCAGGTACATTTGACTCCAGAGATTCTGGTCCTTAGCGTATAGAAGGCTACACAGGAGATGATCATATGAATGGGAAAATACCTAGAAAATTTCATTCTCAGCTTCCTGACAGTCAGCCTAGGGGAAAAAAAAAGATACCACCATCCATAACTGTGATTGTGGGAGAAAAAGCAAAGCCCTTTGATAGCTTGGCAGGTAGATGGGGCTGAACAGCAGCCAGGAGAGGAAGCTGAGGGCAAAGCAGGTTGGTCAGGCTGAGGTGGTCTTTCTCCCTCCTCCTCCTCTGTAACCTCCTCCTGCTGCCCCCACCCCCCAAGCTGCCCAGTGTCCCTCTGGGCTAGCATTTCACTGGCTACTCCCATCCGACCCTGGTGACCCTCATGGCACAGACCTGACGCCCTCACCCCTTGCTCGTATATCCCTGCTCAGTCTCCTCCTTGCTCTGCCTGTCCTCACGGCCCCCTGCCCGTCTGATCCTTCCACCTGTGAGCCCTGCCAGGCTGACCTGGCTAAGGGTCATATCTGGCCACACCACATCCGTGCTAAATCTCCAGTGACCCACTGATTTTCAGGAGAATGGCTGAGGTCCTTAATGTGATCATCTATGACTTGGGGGACTTTGGGGGAGGTCCCATCTGCTCTTATGCCTCAGTTGCCCCATCTGTGGATTGGGCAGGCTGATTGGATGATTTCTTTTTCTTTCTTTTTCTTTTTTTTGAGATGGAGTTTTGCTCTTGTTGCCCAGACTGGAGTGCAATGGCATGATCTAGGCTCACCACAGCCTCTGCCCCCTGGGTTCAAGCCTCAGCCTCCTGAGTAGCTGGGACTACAGGCACATGCCACCATGCCCAACAATTTTTTTGTATCTTTAGTAGAGATGGGATTTCTCCATTTTGGCCGGGATGGTCTTAAACTCCCGACCTCAGGTGATCCGTCCACTTCGGCCTCCGCAAGTGCTGGGATTACAGGTGTAGCCACCGCACCTGGCCTGGATGGCTTCCAAGCGCTCTCCTAGCCCTGATATTTCTGTGGTTCCAGGTGCCACATGGAATATGGCTTGAGACCTGCACTCCGTGTATTTTATGTCAAGAGTTGGCGCTGGGGTTGGGGAGTGGGGAGGAGAGTAGCGACTGCAGCTGCCTCGTTAGCCTTGGCACCTGCTAATCCCTGAGTTTTCAGTAGCCCAAACAGTTTACCCTCAGGTTCCCATGCATCCCTCAGAATCCCACTCAAGCATCTCTGCTTCCGGAGGCCCTCTGATTTACCCCAAGCAGAGTAGGTCACTTCCTCCTACTGTCCGCCTCCTGAGCTACCTCCATGATAACCAGCTGTTGTGCTGGGTGTCAGACCCTGGGCTAGATTCTGGGGATCTAAGGGTGATAGTAACAGCCCTGGAAGAACATCGGGCAGAGCCCTGTTAGCACAAGCCGTGAGTCAGAAACGCCCGGCACGAGAAGACTCTGAAGGGACCTTCTAATTGGGGAAGGAGCGGGGAATATTGGGTTGCGCTTTGGCAAGGGAGCTCAGCTGAAACCGCTGTTTTCAGGTGTAGCTGGTTGAGGATGGTGTTTCCAAGAGAGAGGAATTATTCTTGCAGATTAGCAGCCACTACTTGACAATTTGGGTTTTATCAACAGGTGAGGGGGGTTGGGGGTGGGGGAGGGACAGCTTTGGCGTCAAGGATCTGTGAGAGCCACTGTGGAATGTTCTCGGTCCTTCAAGATCTCTTCAAGAACTGCATGTATGGAGCACTTAGAGGCGTCAGACTGTGTTCTAAGCACATTGTGTTATTAACTCACTGGATCCTTAAAAGAATGCCAGGAGGAAGGTACGATTCTTAGCCCATTTTATAGCTAGGCCTGTGGCCCAGCGTGGTCAAGTGACTTGCCCACGATCACACAGCCAGAATGCAGTGAAGCAAGGGGTTAAACCCTGGCAATATTTAGTGCCCACATGGCACAGCTCCTCACCGCTTTTAAAGTGTGAGCACCCCAGGTGTCCTCTACAATCACACAGTGACCT